TCTAGTGTCCAGTTTCTAAAATCATCACTTATCTTTTGTTATGACTTGCAATAGCCAGGATGGGAAAATAAGTCTGTTTCCATGAGAAGCTGTTCATGTTTTATAGTTAATTCCAAAATCTTATAGTAAAAGTCAATATTCCAAATTTATCTGGACCCTTAATCCATTTATAACTTTCTTAGATCAAAGTCTTATTTCATTTTTGCTCTTTATTTCAAATTCTTTAAGTTCTTAAGCATATAATTAATTTTCCTTTTGTTAAGAATTCATCAACTCACCCGATGAAGACTTTTCGAACTTCTTGTTCCAAAGGTCTTGAATAGCTTTAAGATGGTTAATAGACAATTTCCAAAAGTGATTAGAAAGTGAGGTTTGTGAACTTAGTGTCCTTTAAAAGACCGCTGTGGTCGCAAGCAAGATGGCTGATCCTGTCATCTCCTGGTGCTCAAACCCATGAGAAACCACTGTTCTGCAGATTCCTCATGAGCAGCAACTGTCTGGAGCATATGTGGGTGATCTGCCATCCTCTGTTTATCTGGAGAATTTTTAAGGAACCAGTCTACTCACAGGTTCCTTGGTCTTTGGCCACAGTTCCCAAACCTTCCTTTTTGGCAAGATTTAGATCATAAGTCATTGTTTCCTTACTTTCTTAGAAAGATGTAATGTTATTGCTAGGCTAAATTATTTTTTATGATTTTTATCTGCTCTTTTGGTGCTTTGCTTGGTCATTCAGATATACATTGCCAAAGAAATTGTTTTGAAAAATTGTTAAAATGTTATTTATTTATTCCCTTTATGGAGCCTCCCATCTCACAGCAGTGACTCTGGGCAGTATACAAAGATTAAAACCATTACAACAATGCAAAGTCATGATGCCCTGATTAAACAGTAATCCCCCAAATGAAACCACATCACCAACTGAGCTTGCCTAACTATCTGGCCCAAGAGCTTGGAAGAACTGTTTTATAGAATGTTTCTTTAGCTAGTTTGGGTCTGTTGAAGAATGGTTGGAATGTAAATATGTTTCTTGTCTCGTCTCGTGTCAGAAATGCAGGAACTGGAAGGGAGATCATTCTTAATCTAAATTTTAAAATTTTTAAAAACTTTAATAAAAACATAGATTTATATAATTCTTGCCG